TTTGCTGCATCGATTAGGGTGGATAGGGGTTTGCATGCTACTTCTCCAACCTTCCCGTCTTCTTATTCTCCTCATGTTTCTTCACCCTTATCATCCTGTTCCAATCGCTTTTATTCCCCCAGTTTTCAACCCCCAATTCTTGGTTCTCCCCTAACATACTTTTGCCAGGCGTTTATCTTCTAGTTTTAATTCACATGCAAACGCGGAGCATCACTTCTGTCCTGTCGACAAGCCCATGTCCAACCAAGCGGTCCACCCCAGTTCATAGGCTTCCATTTGGAGCCCTCGGTCTTCCTTCCTATTGGCATGCCTCAATACATGCATATTGCTACAGATCGGTCAACAGGCAACACTTGCCCGAACATTAGCGACCGTCTCCATCGATATCTTCTACTTATCTGAGACCTGCCTGCAAGACTCGAGCTCTGTGCTCACTCTGCGAATCCCTTCAGGAGACACCAGCAGCATTTCCTCATTGCGCCTATCCGATGACGATTCATCTCCGAGCAACAGCCAAGCTTGTCTTGGTATTGCCATGAGTTCCCGGACTGCAGCTGCTCTGGTTGATTGGATTCCAATCACTAGCCGGATATGTGCGGTTCGATTGGATGGCTCGTTCTAAGCTTGGAATTCGCGCGAGACTAATAGGTGTCTATTCATCATCGCTGCCTACGCGCCCACAAACTCTAGGGATGATTCGGTAAAAAGCGACATCTACCGCCAACTGACCGAGCTGCTTCGCCACAGAAGTATCACGGACACTGTTGTGCTGGCTTGGGATCTGATCGCTCAAGCTGGAAAGTTGTCCACTGATGAACTGCGTCTGGGCGGCCAGCACGGTGTGGGCTCCCGTGCTGATAACGGTGAGCAGTTATTTCATATGTGTGAAGATGCTTGCTTATTTCTTGCGAGCACTGACTTCTGACACAGCACCCGCCGGAGGGTGACTTGGCGCCCACCAGCCTCGGACCAGCCTTGGGCGCAAATCGATCACATCGCGATCAGTTACCGCTAGAGAGGATGCTTTCAAAACTGTCGCTCGATTTAGAGCACATGTGTGGGCACCGACCATGCACTTGTGAGTGCTGGCCCGCGGATGCTTTTTGGCGGACGCCCAAGACGACGTTGTGAGCGTATTGACACCTGTCAACTGGCAAAGCCAGCTGTTCTGAATGCGTATCGAAGTACGCTGACATACGGGTTGAGTAAGCGCTCACTGGAAACAACTGAAGGTCACTGGTCATATATTCACCAGATCTTACTAGCAGCAGGCGTATCTTCATGTGGTAATTCTAAACGCCAACTTGGACATTGGGTCTCTTCGCGGTCTCTGGAACTTATCGATCCTCGCCGGCACATTCCGACTGGAAGCGAACACCATGAGACTCGCAAAGAGTTACGGGCAAAACTGTGCTAGCCTGAAGGGACAGCGCGAATCATGATGGTCTCTTCTTGCGTCAGAGAGAATTGGCTGCTGCTCTTGATAATCACCGTAAGTTATTCCGTCTGATACGGGAAACGGGCTACAGGAGACCTGGTGTTAGTGATACAATCTATGACGAGAGTGGACAGCCTATCCACAACTTGTCAAAACCTTTGCAGCCTGGAGCTGAGCATTTTGAAAGGCAATTTAATTGGTCAGAATTATTAGATTTCTCGCGGGCTACTGATCTTCCCGCTCCGTGGGCTTTCCCTTTGGATCCACCCTCTCGCTCAGTAGTCGAACGTGAAATCGGACTGTTGAAGTTGAACAAAGCCGCGCGACCTGATAATCTTCATCCAGCTCTCTTCATATTCGGGGACCCTGCTTTTTGATGATTAACACGAGTTACTAGTGAAACTGGGAGCATGAGATTGTCTCATCCGACTTGAGCCGGACGGTTATTGTTCCGCTCTTCAAAGGAGGCTTGCGTTCGGTATGCGGCAACCATAGAGGAATCAGTCTGATCCCTATTGCCTCCAAATTACTTACTTCTGCAATTCTTCACAGACTGACTGGGGCTCGTGATAACCAAATTTGTGAGGAGCAAGCCGGGTTTCGTCTGGGTCATGGCTGCATCGCCCACAACTTCACTTTGCATCAGTTGTTGGAGCACCGTCACACATATTGGTGACCCAACGTTGTCATGTTCCTCGACATCAAATGTGCCTTCGATTCGGTTGATCGATGTGCCTTTTCGGACTGTCTATTCAGGAAAGTTGTGCCCTAGAAATTTGTAAACATTCTCCGTGCAATATGCACGCGTAGCTTGGGTTGAGTGAGAGCTTACGATAAGTTGTCGCCGCCCGTCAATCTCTCCAGTGGTGTGAGACAAGGATGCTCGCTGTCACCTTTCCTCTTCAACTTCGCTATTGACTAAGATTGCATTCACAGGACACGACTTAGGTGTGGAGCTACTCTCAGGAGGACGACTTCTTGACTTGGAGTATGCAAACGGTATTACCCTCATCTTTGACAGCTCAAAGACGTCAAACAGCAATGGACCGGTTAGCACTGGCTGTCAGCCGCTTCGGGCTTTGTTTTGCACCATCGAAATTCAAAGCTGTCCTCCAAGATTGGCAGGGATCGCCTCCTACGCTAACCCTTGGTGGGGATCAGCTAGAGGTCGTTCAGAAACTCAGCTACCTAGGATGTTGTATCAACGCCCTTAGGATCGAACATGAGATCACGAACCGTGTAGCAAAAGGTCGAGGCGCTTTTGCAAACCTTCGCCGGCGCGACATCACTCCCTGGAATATAGAGTGTACAATGCGGCGGTACATTCGACCCTACTATACGGCTGCAAAACCTGCCCCCTTAGATCAGCGGACATAAAGAGGCTAGTTACGTTCGACCACCGGTGCATTCGTAATTTAGCTCACATCTGGTGGGAACACCGCGTGAGCAACGAGCGTGTTCGACGCCTTGTTTACTGCACAGGATATGGAAATGAACCACTCAGCACCGTTATTTCACGCACCAGGCTCCGATGGCTCGGCCACATGTTACGCATGCCAGCCCACCGACTTCCACGACGTGTGTTGCTTGCTCACCGGAGATGTGAATGGAAGAAGAGGAGGGGTGGTCAAGCGATGACTTGGTCCAGAGGAATGAAGGCCCTCACTTCTGAGCTGGCTTCGGTTGGAGCGTCACGGCTCCCTGGTTGGGGTCCGAAAGACGATGAACACATTTGGCTGTATACACTTGCTGACTTGCCTAGGAGCGGAACTCATTAGCGTTTGTGCTGTGAGTTTCTTTCTCACAGTCCGCCCCTCTTAGCCTCCCCCTCCAACCACGATCTCATTCCGTAGCATAATATAATTTTACATAATTTTTATTGTTGCCTGGTAGCGGTCTGGTAGCTTTCCGGAGCGATACCCATCCGTTGCTGGTAGCTCATCTGGCATGTAGCTGCCGCATTTTTTTTCTTTTATGTATTGCGGCATAGTAGCTGAGGTGTTTTACACCTCTAGCTCACGTGTAGGTGCATGGTGTAGTTTGCTCTCCAAAATGTGCTGGTGCACCGCGGGCTGTAGCCTTCATCATCGAATGGACACTGGAAGTGCTGGCAGCGTGGACTTTAGTGATTCCATCACTGTGGTGGTTACTTCACGTATCAACCAACACCTTGAACAAGTTAGTCTGGCTAGGAGACTGCAGGAAATACACCTGCTGATGTCAGCTCCTATTCATAACTTGTAGAATCTGGAACCAAACAAACGGTTTGTCGCTTGGACTCCTGCTCAGTTGTCGCGGACAGACATCACTTCACTTTAGCCCCTGTAACACGGCTTTTATGATCAAAAGTAATCCGGTCGGTACAAATGTAGTTCATTAAAGGCTGCGGTACTACCTTTTCCAATAGGCTACCAATTTCAGCAATCACGCACCTGTCACCGTCAACTCTGCAGCATAGCTGGTGACGGTGAACGCTTTCCAGCTCTTTATCGTCCAGAGTGAATGGGTCTTCAAGCCGGGGTTTTTGGATCTAAGATAACATAGTTGAGTATTTATATCCCTTTTGTCTTGAAACATATCTGAACTGATCTCACTGCGAAGTAACGCGTAAATATTGTTACAGAATGCATCTTTGATTGCATAGAAACTGGCCCTTGGGAGTATAAGTGTTAAACCATAACCATACTGGTTATCATCACGCGAATATGAACGCCTACGGGCTACATTTGTATGTACAGAGTCGGCGCGCATAAACTGCGAACAATTATTGTGTGTACTCGATTGTGACGCACAAGCTTTTCAGTGGTGCATTATTGGAATTGGCGCTGGCGTTTTAATCCTGAGGTCCCTGGTTCGGTTCCACGCAGACGCGGGAGACCTCACGGTGTAGTCATCGCTCGCGCACCTGGTTGTGGTCGCGTGGCAGCGAAGCGTCAGTAAAGTGTGCCGACGTGCTAGTGATACCTTTGCTGATCGTGAATTCCTGTCTACTGAATGGAGTCCCTCGACCTCTCGGTAGGGCGGCAAAAAGCGATAAACATGCACCGACTCAGTCGATGAGGTCCTCACTTGCGCTGTTCGTGAGCTCACCGAGGATTATTGATCGACATTAAGGTAGACCGGTTGCGACTGGTTCACTCCTCGACCTCATGGTTCTTCCACACAAATGGTGATACCAGTCTAACTTGAATTATGCAAGTGTATCAGATTGATCGGTTGTTTCTTAGCCAACTGGAATTGGGTTACCGGAAGGTAACCAATGTTTGTTCTTCACAATACATATGGCGACAACTTGCTCATCGCCTTTATGGACTATTTTTGTCTTTTACTTCTTGTTTACTTGCCTGCTTTTCTTCTGCTCCTACTCACCGCCTTAGATCTCTCAGCGAATCCATGTATACATTCGGCTAGTTTTTCCTCTCTCCTTCAGTCATTTATTTTATTTGTCTAAATGCCACTCTCAATAAGATCTCCATAGACTTACATGCAACTTATTTCCCCCCGCTGTATTCACACTTCAGCTACTGCTTATTTCCACGCTACTGGATGCACAGACTAATCTATGAAGTGGAATCGGAGTCCGAGCAAAAAGTTACTACGCATACGAGTGACTTCTCATGAATCTGAATTGGAATTCAACATTTCGGTTTGTTTTACTCCCTATCCCATATGATGACAATTTACAGCCAAAGAGCACGGGAAAGTATTTGTTCGACTTGGTTTGTAGCACCATCGGTCTTAGAGAGACTTGGTACTTCGGTTTGCAAAGCTATTCCTTATTACCAAACGGACGGATGCGCCTATCACAATGGTTGAAGCTGGACAAAAAAGTGATATTGTCTCATTCGCAACATGTTTTACTGTTGGTTTTGGTAGATAGTTTCACAGAAGTCCAATGCGGGCCAAAAGCAGTTGTGTTTTTACTTTCACCCAAAATTTTTTCCTGAAGATATTGAACAAGAACTTATTCAGGCAACCACTCGGCACTTATTTTACCTGAGTGTGAAGGCCACCATATTGAATCGTCAGGAAACACATGTCAATGGCAGTACACAAGGTGAGTAAACGTTCTTCTGCGCCTTTGCAGTCCTGATGAAAGTAATGTGGAAACATAGCCAGGTAGTTCCCTTTGCTACCGGAGGACTTATTAGGCGAGACTGACTATTCGCATTGGCGTTTATGACACTGATATTTCTTACAGCTTGGTTATTTTTCTAGTGCACTCTGTTCCATGCGCTAGCATCCTTCGTACTTTTCGTTTATTGCAGTTCACCAATGCATTCCTGTTCCCCTTCCAGGTCCAACTTGTAGAATGTGCATGCTACTGACCAGTAGTACGCCATCATCTCGCCCATCTCTTGTCTTGTTCATGCTTAATCTTTGCCTTACTTTCGTCCCCTCTAACCACTCCTTTCACATTTGCTGGTTTTCGCTATTCCGATCGCCAAACTTGAGCCATTCGCTCTACTGTTCTCGTCATTTGCCACTTATGCTAGTGAGTTACAATGCTTGGTAGAATAGACACTCCCCTTACTTGCGCCTTCTCTCTGCGCATGTATTCCATCCGTCACACAGGTTTCTTGTAGTATTTTATCGGATGCATCACACTTTAAGGGAAACTGGTGCGTCGCATTCGAGTTCTTGCCTCTGCTTTTATCTCGCAACTCTTCAGTCCGTCAGTGCTGTTGTATTCTTTGTCACCTTATTTTCCCTTCTGTCTCATTTTTGGTTGCTCGCCACATAAGCATGCATAAACGTAACTGAACGCCGCACAAGTGAGCAGTCAGATCGCGGTTCGTAAACTGAAATTTAGGAATAAGTGGCAGGGGAATACCACATTAAAGTTGCTCTTTTTGCGCTTCAACTATTTGTTGGGCGATCATTTCCTCCGTGTTTCAAACGATTGTGCTACTTACCATCAGGTGCACGTTGTTATGAGTAAATGTTTATATCACCCAGTCTTAACTTCCTCTGGCTAAGGTAGTCAGGTTGCCTGATCCTTTCTGGGGCCTTCGGTGACACGGAGGATCGTTATATACCCACTTATGCGGCTATTTTATCGAAAAACAACTCACAGCGTCTTTCAGCTACTACTGCATGATTGCAGCTACTATATCCGTCAAGATACTACCACGATGCTACAAATCATACAGTTGTTTAATTTGAACCCAATATCCTAGAGCCATTGGATGTTTGCGTTACTACACCCATAATCATCACCACAATCATTACTACTGTCGGCACAACAATTAAGACCATTGACAACGACAAAACAACCTATCAACTATCATTCCTTTCTCCGTGAACTATGAATCGGGCCACTGCATAAATTGGAATCCGTAAGCTAATTCTGCAAACGTATGTTTGACTTTAATTTCTTGGATTACCGTTTCAAAGCGTTCTCTCTTTGCCAGGTGATCTTTGTCCAAACGTGGATGTGGCCATTCTTCTAGCCTCTTTAGCAGCTCAGGTGAGTTTCTGAACGATTTACTTCGTGTTTTCCACTCAAGGTCGTCTCAACTTTTTCACGGTATGAATCCGATCAGCATGTTCACAAAGTACTCACTGTAGCATTTGTTTATACATCTTAGGAAAGATCCTTTTGGAGAGTCCCGATCGTGCTTTATGTGCCTACGATTTCTCGCGAACGCATATGCTTTCGTTTAGGATGTGGCAATCCTTCCGCTTCACCCAATCCAATTATGTTCCGCACACCAGCCTAACAGTTGTGGCCTGCCATTGTCCACCATTGCAACGATGGTGATGAGTTTCAGTGCGTTTCCGGCCGGTAGCACCATCTATTTACCGTTGAATGAGCCATCATGCCGATAATCATTCACAACTTCTCCCACATTTCCACAAATCAGTTTCTTTTTCGTGGGGGTAGGCGCTCTGCGAAATGTTAGTGAGTGTGCGCACTCAGCTCAGCGAACACACCGGCTACCAACTGAACAACCTGGGCCACCAATTTTTGCTTCTATTTCCGCTGAACCTGTTTCATCTACGAGTGACCACTTGTTCCAGTCAGTCAACATACTTGCATTGCCATCTGCGCATCAAAAACGCTGTCATAGGAATGCATTGCAACCTTGTTTGAGACGTGTGCCTTAGTTGCAAGTCGTCTGAGCGACGTACGCATATGACTGGTGAGAGATTTTTTACCCATCATTGCAACGAGGCACGGCTAACTCTTCATGAGATGCCAGGCCCAAACTTGTTTCTTTGACAGTGCATTTCATATCGATGACAAAGACAGGTTACATTCTGCAGGCCATGCAAACCCAAACCTCTTCGATTTTTACTGATCCACATTAAATACTCGCTGATTTTGACGTTTACAATCACCCCACTCCTGTATTGTATGTCTTACTATGTTGTCCGCTTGACTAACGACAATGTGTCCTGTATCATTTCGGTTCATTGTACTTCCATCGCGAAAAAGCAGTTTCTCCATTGACTTAAACCATGGAACTCGCTCTACTTCAGTGCTCCGTTTAGCTGACCCATGTATTGTTTCGTATCCACTTGATTATAGGCAGAATATGGTGACCTCTGCGAGGACGATCTAGACGGTAAAGACGATCCGAATTTTCTTCCCAATCGTCTATTGAGATTAATTCCAAGGCAGTTGATACCGGTTATTCAGTCGGATCAAGCTTTGGCCCAGAAGCTGAGAGAATGTTACAAATCCTACAAAGGAATCAATCGGTAAGCTATATATGGACATTTTTACACACAGAAACAAACCTTGTGGTCTATTTGAATTTCACACCGCTCGTGACAGATTTCTTTTCGCTTCACAGCGTGGACCATCGTGTTGGAACCATTGCTTTTCTTTCCAAATTGCACCCTTAGCAAATTACCAGGGTGGATTCAAAAGTTCCAGTCCCTACTTAGAAAGACGCAAATTATCCAAGTCATTTTTTGTCACTTTTCGGGATACTCTCCCATAACCTCAACATGTTTAATCCATAGATGTGTGGACAAGAATCGAAGGCTGTCCTACTTAAAGGCACTAATCAACCAATCGTTATTAGTAAATAAGTGGCTCCGGAGTTCGTATCTCAGTGTAGGTAACAGATAAAATCTGATGGGGCCAGATTTGGTGAATAAAAGGGTGTAGCAGCAATTCAGAACCGCAAATAGCTGCTCTTGATAAGATCACTTTGAACGTGCGAACAGGCGCGTTATCATGAAAAAGATGAACTACTACGAGGTTTCTTCTCCGTTTTTCTTTTGGCGTAAATCTGAAGTGTAATACTTGCCTGTGGGGTATCTGATCCCTCAGCAAGAAGTCTGTCATGATTGCATCTTCCTTGTTCTTTGCAGCACGGCGCATTCGGGCAGTCAGTGGTGTTCCTGCATTCGGTTTCTTGCATCTACCTGTTAATAATCATTCCATCCCGACTCAATTACGCTTTTCTTTCCGGATACCATTTTCTTTGTGTTCTGTTTGTATTCAGCCCCACTTTCTTACCGTTATTCTGGTGACGTGAGCCATGGCACCTGGGTCCACCGCATTTTGTTGCCTGGATCATGATTGTTTAATTAGACTGAACTAAACTGCCCTTCCATTGTCCCGAAAGACAGATTTCCAAAATTTCGACCTTAAGCTTCTACCGAGTAAGCGCGTGACCGACTTAAATTATGCTGAGGATATCGCCTTACTTGGTGACGATCCACAGGGTATACAACTCATTCTGGAGCGTTTTTCGGTTTAACCATCTAAGTATGATACGAGCTTCGCCCCCTCGAAGTGTAAACTGTTCCTCCAGAATTGGTCCGCCTGCTCCCGTGCTCATTCTTGAAGGTTCACAACTTGTACAGGTAGATAGTTTCGTCTACCTTGGGAAATCTGTTTCTGCTGGAGGCACTATCAGCAAAGAATTTTCTCTTCGCATCGCTAAAGCCCGATCAGCATTTGTCAGTCTAAGGCACCTGTGGCGTCGTCGCGACTTCTCATTCTCGCTAAGGCGTCGTGTTTACGGTGCATATGTTTCCTCAGTATTTTTGTATGGGGGCGAGTCCTAGCCGATTCGCGTGCAAGACATGCCTCATCTTTCTGCCTTCATGTGTGGTGACAACATCAAGTTCACAGTTTTGACGTTCGACTTCGCGTCTTGGGGAATGCGAGTATTCCCTTAAACAAACTGGTTTTGTTGCGCCAATTGAGATAGCTTGATTACGTCCTACTCATGGTACCTGGGCGTTTATTGCGCCGCACTGTATTCGTCCGTCAAGGACCTGGCTGGAGGCGACGCATAGTTGTCAGCCTTCCACTTGGCAACAGCACATGAAATTGCTGACGTCGCGTCTAGCCGCTGTTGGACCCGTAGGTCTTTCAGGATGGGGACCCGAGGATGAGGAGTGCCAATGGCTTAACACACTTGTAGACATGGTCCGCAACCGGAATCAGTGGAGGAATTGTGTACAGTATTGTATTGATTCACATGTTTAATACTTCAACCATGGAAAATGACAATAAAGAGAAAAATCGGCGTATGAAACAAACTAAAAGTGTTTGGTACTAATTGTTGTGAAATTATACGTTTCTTTGATTCTCCTGTTTTCTTGATGACCCCATAACCATATATATATATATATATATATATATATATATATATACCAAAACGGTAAAGTCAAATGCTTATCGCTTTCAGCTGCTGCTTCCTTTTTGTCCGTAGATGCCAATGTGTCGATTGACACCTTTCACATCTTACCATGACTGTGAGGCAGCGAGTGAACTCGATGATGCACTTATTATGATTATAGTTCTTTATGGCTCAAATTACCACCTTTTTGTTTTTTACTTATTCAACAATCTGATGACGGTGCATTTGAATGCAAAATTACGCGCCCTTCAGTTAACGCTATCGGGTCAAAGATCCTCCCAAGTCAATGCATAACGTTGGAACCTATCACCATCGCATTGAGGCGTGGGACGTTTCGTTTACCGAACACATTATGTGTATGCTTGAATTCGCGTTTGCAGGTGGTAAATATTACTGAGAAGCGGCAACTGCTTCCCGTAGACAAGAGTGATGAAGTCCAATGCCGTCAACTTGATTGATCCCGCGGTTACTTGCTACAAGTCTCAAGGGTCACTATGTAATCATAAGACTGTGGTATAGAAGAAGACGGAGAGTTGTAACTCACCGTCACACTTCGTGTTGGAACAGGACAGTGAGGATGCCGGACCTTCTACGCCAGCCAAACTGGTTGTGATACGCTTCATCTCCTCTGTTCTTCAACTAGACTGTGGTAATAGAAGAACCAAGAATAGTTAACATTTGCCTGGGATGCTAACACGTATATTTTCAAGACGTGATTTAATTTTATACGGCTAGTTGTAGCATAATGGATTTATCTCAGTTGTATTCTGATCTAGATTGGCGTGAACGAGGTATAACGTGATTCCAGAGAGTTAAGATATGCACAAGCGTCGGCTAGCAAATAATGCGCTTATTTTGTACTTATCACGGATTCACTTATAATCAATTTCTTCTATATGCTCATTTAGCGAGTATTTATGTCGTCATATGCATTTACCTTATTCGATATCGGCATTTTGTGTGATAGGCTGTTGTTTGACATCCTAGGTGTGGCTGCGCTTGGTGTGCATGTTGACAAGGTGCCTACCTGTCTATTACCCGCTACCTCGTCCATACTGGCTCCAGGAGACAGTTTGCCGTTGTTGGAGGGGACGGCGTGCACGGTCCTTGTGGTCGTGCTAGGCTCGAAGAGTGGTTCCATGCACTTAGTGTGGAGCAGACTACGGTCCAGCCACCGCCTTGTGTGCTCTTGATTTCCAACTACAGCGTGCTTGTATTTTCCTGTGAAGGAGTGTGGGCCGGCTGAGTTGATGAAACGTGGCTCTCATCCACATGCCTCCCGGTCTTATTCCTTCGGGTTTACACTGGATATGATCTGTGTGCATGGAGTTGTGGGTGGTGCAGCGCAAGCCATCCATGGCCCCTCTGTATGCGCAGGCGTCCTGTGGTTGTCCTATGGAGGTCACAGTGACAGGCACAGCCGGACACAGATGCCGCCAAGCACCATACTACTACTACTGCTACTATGTTACCCGCAGACACCATTTGACCGAACTTTTTTGAAGGTGGAGAACCACTGTACTTCCATTGATTACTTTGCTACTTTCACTCTGATTCCGAGTGATTAACCCAAGTTTCATACGGTGTTACGGATCATTTTTTGCTTGTTGCGCATGACATTTGAATCCGATCAATTATGTACACAAATCATCTACTGTTTTTTGTTGTGCGCCATATCCTTAACTGTTTGGGGCCTGGTCCCCGACCAGGCAGGCGTGTGAAGCCGACGACGGGTAGGCGGGAACCAGATGGACGACTGAACACTGCGCGGTCTTTTCCAGATGAGTCCTGCACGAGCGAACAGCACTCCGTGAAGCACACGCTCAGATGACATATTCAGGACGTGACCGAGCCATCTAAATTGGCTCAACAAAACCAGCTTATTGAAAGGAATACTACCCTTCTCTAAGACACAGCGTCTGGTTGTTTCCACCACACACGAGCGATCCTCCTCAGACACCCATTGTCGAATGCCGGGATTGGACTCATGCCTTTCACATTTTCACATAGCAGCACTGCTCGAATGGAGGCATTTTAAACCCGGCCCTTTACTAAGAGCAAGACATCCCGACGAAGTCACAAGTGTTTCAGTCTAACAAACTCCGACCGAGCTTTGGCGACCCGGAGAGAAACCTCCTTTATCTTATTGCCGCAAGCAGATTTGCAGCTGCCCACGTAAACCAACCTATCCACGTGTTCAAGCTATATACCTACCAAGGTTAGCGCAGGAACCTGTGTGTTCTCATTCTGGGCAGCACTTCACACTTCGGGAGGGGGGCGAAGCACGTTCCCTACGATGGGAGAAGTGCATACGCCAAGAGTAGCGGGATCATAGCTGTCTTCGTGCTCTTGTGGTCTGTTGTTGCCGGCGGAATTTCCACCGCTGGCCCGCCGTTAATTTATAAGTGTCTTGTAGCTCACGCTGAAGGTGGCGACATCGGAAAGTGGACATCCTTTAAATTGGTCAGATAAGTGTTTGGAACACCAAAACTCTTCTCTTTGCTCAGTTTCACCAATCTGAAGCGGTGATTTTCACGGTGTCCATCAAGAAAGTAGCGTTAAAAGTAGGATGTATATCGGTACTCAAGCTGGCAATAACAACCCGTAACACAGTCTTTACAGATCCATCACCAACCCAAGGGATGAGAGTATTCGTATACCAACCAGCTATTTAAAAATGAATATAGCGCATCGCATTCTGCTGGCCACAACAACCACTCTGCCTTCAGAAAGGCTGCGTCACGCGGACTGGTGTCGATCGACAGGCCTCCATGTTCTGGTGGATCAGCGAAGTTAGCCTCGCGGTAGCGATGATTCCGCCTGGTCTTCGCACGTAGTTTGGCAAGGTTGGGTAGTTGGTTTATGAGCCGTGTGGGGCCGATGTTCGTTAACTATTAGGCCGTATTCAAATCGACAAGTCCACAGGTCATGCCTCTTTGCGAATCTCAGTGGTGCGGATTGTGCCGGCAGACCTTTTGGCGTAGCCCGTTTTTCAACGCGAACATATGTTTCAGATTGCATAAGAATCGACGCTCAGGCCTAAGAATTTTGGTAATATGCTACGTGGTTTGAAACTTCGCCACCTCACAGATGACA